CTTCTGATAAATCAATTAAAAACATAATTCTCATTACTCTAATTTTCTCAGAGCCTCTCTCTTACATTAGTTCATTTTCCTTCTTTCTCGCCATTATCGAACCAACGATACTACAGACAGGTCTGTATACCCACAATCATTCGCATTATTGACGTTGATTGTTATCTTCCGTGATATCAATGATAACAATGATAGATGTGTTGCTTATGATAATACGATGAAATCACGAAGCAAAGGCGTAAAATCGAGAATCTGTCTTTCGGCAATGAAAAAAATCAGCATATTGAAGTGGTCAATCGCGTCATTCAGATTACTCAGAAAATAGAAAAAAGTGAAATGAGAGTCTGTGCAGAAATATTCCGCTCATCTTTGTTTCCTTTAGGTATACTGGAGCCATAAGTGTTATGTGAAACTCTACATTTTTTGCTATTTTTGGGTTTCTTCCAAATAGTAATGAAGTTCATCCCAAATTGTAAGCTGTGCTTCTTTGATTGTCAGACCTTTCATTCTGCCGTTTCTCTCGCGTAATTGCTCCAATTTCACATCTTAGTTTTACATTGTTACACTTGAAGTGGAAATAATTACATTCACATGTTTTTTACATTAACGTTTAGCCTTCTAATAAAAATGTAGGGCGCAATTGCATTTTGATTTCATTCGCTCTTGAGGCTATTCTTGTATCCGATATCGCTCTCGTCAAAGGTCGGAGTGCCATTAGTAGTAGACTTGTACTTGGTCATGTCTGCTTGCAAAAAAAAATTCATGCTGTCAAAGAAATCTCTAACGTGGCGTTGAAATGATTCGAGCATAGGCTATGCTTAGTGTACAAAACTGGTTTGGGATTTTCGAGGTACATGTGTACAAAGTTTGGTCGCACTAATTTGAAAAATTTCAAAAGTTTGAAAGTGGAAAGTCAAAAAAAATTCCATTAAACGAACACTTACATTACTTCTAAGTCTATACCCTCCCGATATTGTAAGTAAAATTGTACAGTGTCTGAGAAAGTCATCCTGTAGAAGGTCGATATATTAAAGATCTTACCTCATTAGAAAGGAAAATTTACTGTAATCTTTCCTTACAAGGCAAATTTCTGACGTCATCTCTTTTCTGACTTCTTCTACAAACTCGTCTAGATTTCTCTTTTCCTCAAATAACGAGTACATCGAGTACATTCCCAATCCTACGAAATCAATCAAACTACAACGTACCAAAAAGATTCAAGTCATTGCGGCCTATTACGCTTTTCAATCATGTCCAGTTGTCGTTGAAGGACTCGTATTGAGGACAGCAAATATAGATTCAATGTTCTTTATACGAATTGCGTAGTGGTCTTTCCTTATCATCGCACGTTGGGACGCCTTAGGAGAAAAGGGTTTACATTTATTTGTTGCTGATCAGTTCTTAGTGGCTTTTTCTACATCAAGAGAAGTTACTCGTCTGCTCAAATCCGCCTCTTCTGGTA